ATGGATGGGCCAAATGTGTAATGGCAGTGGCATGAAATGAGCATTTTTTTAACGGATGACATAGATAGACCATTTCTTAAAGTTGAGTGACATTTTTATGCCTTTTCCGACTAAAATATAGTAATTTTTGAAAGTTTCTCTTCACACAACTAGTACCAGTTGTGTGAGACATAAAAGTAAAGTTTTTCTGTTAGTGACAAACAATATAAAGTGCAGAGAAGGCCTCTCACCTTTAAAGGGGCTTTAGCTCTGCCTCTCAAACTAATTTTTTTTTGTTTGTCATTTTAGCCTTTCCTTTTCTTCCCTTTTAAATGTAATTAATGAAAACTAGGCAACTACTTGCCTCAAACTCTGGAGAACGACTCATGCCTCGTCTGAGCCGTCTCCTATTCGCTTGCGCATCTTCCCAACACAAATATATTTGGATATCGTACCAGTAAAGTTGTCAACTTTTGTTTACAAGAGTGGGAACCGTAGATGCTATGAGGGAAGGAATGTAGCTAGGCATAGTCTTTATATTTATTGTAATAATTTATTTCTTTGGTACACACAGTTCAATTTTCAGCAGATATTTTAGAGTTAGATGATTTCATCGAATATATGCATTTGGTGAGACATAAGTAACAGTGGTAAAATAGTCGCAGCTCGCACTATGGCTGTCCAACGGGCCGGGCCCGCCCGCGTCCCGTTCCGGTCCCGTCCTGCTTCAAGTTAAATGGGATGAGTCAATATTAAACGGGACATGGGATGGGACGAGACGCTATTTCGTCCCGTCCCGTTTCGTCCCGTCCCGTCCCGCGTCCCGTCCTGCCAGATTTTTTTTTTTTTTTTTTTAAAAATTAGCCGTTGGGCAACAACTTAAATTGCAAAAATAGTCGTTGTCAATGGTCCAAACAGCCCTTACCCCCTCCCAAACTTTTAATATAACCCCTAAGTTTATTAAATTACACTTTGGACCTATTTTCTATATAAATACCTTCCATTCTTCTTCATTTTTTCCCACAAAAAATCAATCTTCTCTCTCAAATCTCTTACATTCTAATATTCTATCTATATTCTATATTATTCTCTCAATTTTGTTACTATCAAATATCAACTATCGAGTATCAAGTGATAACTTTCAAGTTTCAACTTTCAAGTATTTGGGCAAATCTTTTGGAGCAACTTTCAAGCTTCAAATTAATTCGTCAAGTATTTGGAGCAATATTTTGGGTAATTTCTTCAAATTTCAATATTTAATCACGGTGCACTTGTTCCATCTCCTAATTTTAATATAGGAGTATAATTTTTGCGTATCATTTTAGTGCTTAATTTTGTGTTTACTTTACGTGTTATATTTTCGTATTTTATTTGTGTGTTTAATATTTGTGTTAGTTTTTTAAATTTAATTTCGTATTAAAATTATGGCACCTAAAAATGTATTTAGTATTTTTTAATTTATTTTCTGATGCTTGTAGTAAAATACAACACGCTTGTGGCTATATTTTTCGTGCTCATAAACAAAGTAGAATTCGTGAATTTGCTCAACAATGTGCTAGTGCTAACCTTCCATTTAGAAAAGTTCCAAAAGATATTTGTACTAGGTGGAATTCTACTTATGAAATGCTTAAAGTTGCTTATGATTATCGGGTGCCTATCCAAAAGGTATTTAATATGTATAATGCTCACCCTGTTGATCAAATTGTTGATTTTGATTGGGATGAGATTAGAGAGCTCACTAAATTTTTAGAAAAATTTTATTATGCTACAAAATAATTTTTTGGTATATATTATCCTACTGTTACACAAATATTATGGTATATTTGTGGAATTTCTGTTGTATTTGGTAAGTATAAAATAAATCCAACTTATGCACAGGCCATTAAAGAAATAATTTTAAAATTTAAAAAGTATTTTTCCCTATTCCCGAAGTTTATTTAATTTCTATTCTGCTTAACCCATCTTTAAAACTAAGAGGTGCAAAGAGACTTGTTCGTAAAATTTATGAGATTTAGAAATTCAAGAAAATAAACAACCATCTCTCGAAAACTGCCAAGCTAGCATATATTCTTATGCTAGATCAATATTTGATAAATCTAAATCTATGCATACAACTGGTTGTGAAACTGCTCCTTCTACTTCTAAGTCTAGAGCAGAAGTTTTATGGGAAGATATGGATGATATAACAGGTTTTGATTCCTCTATTGATGATGAACTTGATTCTTATCTTAATCAAGGATTGGAAAATATTAAAGACGAAGAAGGCAAGGAACAACTTTTGTCATGGTGGAGGGAGCGTGGCAAAGCTTTTCCAACACTTTCAATTATGGCCCGAGATATCCTGGCTATTCAAGCATCATCAGTAGCGTCAGAGAGTGCTTTTAGCGCAGCAAGATTTCAAATTGGAGATCATAGACATTCATTAGCGGAGGACAGTCTAGAGATTTCCGTATTATTCAGAGATTGGATTAATTCAGAAAGAAGAAATCTTGGTTTTGAAAGATTGACCACTAGGGAAGAAGAAGAATACAATGAGATACTAACCACTGGGAGCGATGACGGCATGGAGCTCGTGGAACATCAATCAATATTGCCAATTCCAGCAGAATGTCAGAGAGATATTATTGATAAGTTACAAAGAAGCTATATAGGAGCTTACAAATATTAGTATGATAATTTATAATTGGCTACTAAGAGGCCTAGTTCAAACAGAACTCTTCCTAAAAGGTGGCTGAAGATTAGGTGCTCTTCAAAAGAATTATATTTGTATTTGAGATTTGAAAGTTCTATTAATAAAATAAAAGGTTCTAACCGTTGAATTCTATTTATGAATTGTCTTAGTTACTTAATAGTTAATACTTTGAAATTATATTAAATAAATTATAGCTCTATTATAAATTTATAATTATTAGAATGTTTCATTACAAGTCTTTTGTTTTAATATTTTATAATTCTTTACTTATTTTTCTAATTTTCATTTTAACATAGTAACATTTAAGTTTATTAAATAAGTCAAAAATCTAGCCGTTGCAAACTTTAAAAACATAATAATTTTCAAAAAACTAGACGTATTTTTTAAACAAAAAAAAATACACTTAAGGCCCACGAACCCGTCCTGTCCCGTTCCGTCCCGTCTCATCCCGTTTGTTAGCGGGACGGGATGGGACGAAGGTTTCGTCCTGTTTGTCCCGTGCCGTTTCGTCTCGTCCCGCCACCGTCCCGCTTAAATATCGTCCCGTCCTGTCCCGTCCCGTCAACGGATAGCCATAGCTCGCACAAGATGATTCGAACTCCATCTCAATATAAGAAATTTATTTCTCTGGTTGAGTCCACAATTTTGTAAGACTTCAGTAGCTCAATGCAGGAGGATCTCTGTATGTAAAAGGATGGTTTTTGGAGTGTGCAGCACTTCCATAGTGCTTGCCCTTTTATGCATTAATAATTTTTTTTGCTTACTGATCCAACATATTAGTTGTGTACTTTATAATCCCTAAGCACACTGAAGCACATAAATTACACTCACTAAAAAAGGTTTGTCAAATTGTTGCTTTATCGTATTATACTAAAAGTAGGGAGTTCTAAATATCAAAGTTGAATTACCAAAAAGTTCATAAAATTGAAGGACTATTTTACCCATTAACTATATAAATACTACTTCAATAATATTCTTGTACAAAAAGGTAAAGTACTACAATCACCTTCCAATAAATAATAAATTTGTACTTAATGCAGCCTATCCAACTCCTAAGTATTCCTTTCATCTTCCCATACTTTATTGCAAATGTACATACTATCTCAACCTTTAGAATGCCCATTTAATGTTTACTCCTTTGAGCTTCCAACAATTATTATAGATTCATGTATTTCAGCCTTCTCTCCTTCTTTCATTCACTTTACAAAATTGGACAATCAAATCAATTAAGCAATTCTTCTTAATGTGAGACCATTTGTCAATTGGAGAAATGGTCATTAACCGTTTGTTCTTTTCATTTGGCATACCTGCTAACTGTCTATAACACATAATACCAATCTATAATTTTCAAATGAGGTAATATTTTCTTTTCCTATTAGTTTTACGAGTCTCGCGCAAATTTTACAATTGTTCATATTTTTTATACAATATTTCCATAGTCTTTATCATGAAAATGACTATCTTTTGTTATGAAAAGTTTGGCTACTATACTATCCTTATTGATTATCAGTGAAAAATAACGTTAAGTTTGTTATTTTCCTTTTGTTGTATTATTCAAGTGTTAGACTAATTACCAAGCCCGTTAGTAGACTTAACTTCTTTACTCCCTCTTCTATTTACTTTTACCATTAAGAAGTCATGGGTTATGTGAAAGGGCTACTACGTAAATCAAATATATTATTATTAACTTATTTCATAAAGAGAAATCTTAGATTATAGAAACAAATAATCTAAGTAAAGAGGGTGAACAATAGTACCTACAATGCACGGTTAGTGTTAAATTATTTCATAAGTCAATTGTTATCATTTGAATCTAAGTTTCAACGATATATAAGTAAAAGAATATAAGACAAGTAGAAGAACATAATTCAAATCCCTTATAAACCAACTATCATTCGGTAGGATTTAGGACACTATAATTATTACATATCGAAATTAGTTTCGGTGGAAAAAAAAAATTAAGTATGTGAATACATTTGATATACATCCATTTTATAGAACTTTTAACAAATCATTTAGATATTTTTGGATATTTTCAATTTTCAAAAGTTTGTAACAATTGATAAAGGTTACACGTGTCAGAAACTAGTAATTATAAATATAGTAGAGCTCATTATAGTAGTACAGCTTGAAGAAATATGTTCCAGAGCAATTAGATATTTTGTAGGATCAATTACCTTTGTGGCTTCATATCGCTGTCTTTTCGGCCCTTTCCATAACTAAAAATGTACAAAATCACAGAAGTGGAGATAAAACGTAGAGAACCTAATGAAAACCCTGTGAAGTTAAGGTGAGGTAAATGAAGTGAGAAAGAAAATGGAAAAACAACTAACGAACATAATGCAAATACTACTACTTAAATCGGCCTTCGAGTTGCTTTACATTCGAAAATAACTTGTTATTAGAATTCATTGCAAAACTCAGCTTGAAGGAAATGCTAGAGCCCTGACATATGCTGTTGGATCCTATACCTATATGCCTTCATTCTCTCTCTGCCTTTTCTCATTATGGCAAGAACACAAAATTACAAATGTGACTATAAAATGTAGGGTGGTGACTATTATGGACTACCCTACGAAATGAGACTCGATTGTAATTGTAACTTATCCTAAACCTGCAGATGGGAAAATCAAATTGCCAAATAGCATCCGAATCATTACTTGAGTTGACATCAGATTGAGTCACTGACAACATAGCTTACACTGTTGACTTAACAAGGCTTATGATGTTCACCGTTGACAGAGATGTCTCTTGAGTTCTTGCAACAGAACAGACTTGACACTTCCGTTTCTCACAACTTACTGAATGCCGTTTATCTTCTGCCAAATGTGTCCCATAATTTCTCTGCATTCTCAAATCCAAGATATATCAGAACGAAATAAAACTCAAGCGACAAATGCATATAATACTGCTTAATCAGCAGACAAATAGTCTTAATATGACATGAAAATGCATGACGTAGTGTACAGCATACCATTGCCTAGGCAAATTTAGGCATTTGTATGAAAATTGATATGGATTACATATGATTCACGTCCATTGTTGGATTGAGAAATGTCTTAAAAATATCCAACTTACCCACTCTATTGGCAGACGTTAGCTTTTAGATGTCATCAAAGAAAATTGAATGACTATTGTGTTGCTGAACTCTTTCTTAACCATGAACTCCATTGAGTCTGCAGAAAGTAATGATCATCGAGAAAGTGAAAACATTATGTCCTGTACTGCAGATTGTATTACTTTATTTAAAAAGAGACTTTTGACTGGTTTTTAGTAAATGCCCATGGATCCTCAGAGGGTAAATAAACTATCTGTAAAATAGAACCACGCTATGCTGCATCCATATTCCCCATCCAATTGCAGAATATTCAAACTTTTGTCATCTTCAACTTCTATCCTCTAACAAGTGCATGTAACAGCGAGGTTGGTACTGATCAATAATTCATAAAGCAGAAAAGCATACCTTAAACTATGAGCCTTATTTGTGGAAAAACATCACAAAGGTTTTACTAAACATGCTTAAGACTCTTGATTCGTGCAAGTCAAATTTTCTACTCTCATAATTGATGCTCTTAAGGGCCTTCTCAAGAACAAAATGGGTTGTACAAGCACACACTCTAGGTAGCAGAAAAGCAGACTTACCTCGAACATGCTATCCAGGTTAGTCGTATTCCAATGTGCTAATGGCTGCAACCAGTCTATCATAAGCACTTCGAATTTTATGTCTTTCTTCAATTGATATGGTAATATCCCCAGAAGACTGCAAACACAAAATTGATTACATGCAACGAACATCAAAATGAAGCCTAATGCTGGTCGAATTAACATAGAAACAGATTGCCTCTCTTTTTTCCTTACCAAAACCAATACACAGAGTTCTGTTCATCAATCTTTTGGAAATTAGTTCTTAGCATAACATATAGTAAGCACCATTGCACAAATACATAAAGTAAATGATCCTTTCTTCCCTTCCCCCCCCCCCCCCCGGGTAAATATGTACTCCCTCTAACAGCTTAAGCATTTAGATGAGATGGTCACACATTATTCATTGAATAGAGCAGGCAGATGTCCTGGATTCGAGTCTTACCGTCACATATTATCAAAAAGAATTTCCATGTGCTTGGCCCATGAATAAGAATCAGGCTCGCATGTGAAGGGGCGTGCTGATACATAATTAAGCAGATAAAACTGTACTCTCAAGTTTTTAGATGAGATGGTCACGCACTATTTAACACTCATGAAAGCTTGAAGCAGCACTAAAGGCCTCTCTTTTTAAAAGTTTCGGTTTATCAATTTATACGGTTTAACAAGGACAAGAGCTAGCAACACTTGCAGCTTTTGAAATTATTATGCATCCAAAAAAAAAAAAAAAAAAATATAACCACGACTCTGGCAAAGTAAAACATAGGGACCAGTAACCTTCATAGTATAAATTACAAATGAGTCGTACTATATGCTAGCTCGGTTGAAAATTAGAAAGCTTTCAGCTCAGAGTTTGAAGTCATACCTTTAGCGTTAGCATGCTTTGTAATATATTCGTAATCTGTGTCTTGCATGCCAGAAGAAGTTTCTGCATCTTAACATCCCCATGCATAAGCAAGAGAACAGAGGCTATAGAAAGAATTCTGCTTGAATGATCCTTCACCAAAGCACCATCCTGATGAGGCAAAAGCGTTGAAACATTGGCACTGATGAATGATTCCATCACTTTCAATATCTGATTTAACAGTATGTTACTCCTATCAAGTAGGAAAAAACCAGGAAGGAGGTAATAATGCCTCGTCTGTCGAATCAATATCTTAGAAGACTCATTATCTTCCTCTGGAATGTGCTACATCAAAGTTAAAAAACAAACAGAAAGCCATGAGTTGAAGGTACTACAAGCAAATGAAATTAAGAGCGAAATCCCAGCAAGAATGCAAATTAAGAACAAGTCCCTACCAACAACACAAATCACAGCTAGCATGGGTTTTCTTTCATTTTTGTTTTTTTTTTNGTAGAGAATTATCTAAGCACCATGAAAGATGAAGCAAGTAGTAATCAGCTGATCTATAACAAACAGTTTATAAAGTTGCAGGAAACTAACCAGCAAAAAATACTTACAGTCATAACGTCTAAGAAGTACTCCGGAAGGACATCGCTTAATCTATTTATTGTCTGCTCGGAAAGTCTTGTAGGTTTTGAATCCAGTGTGATAAGCAATCTTATAAAACCATATATGTTATCTACTGGTCGTTTGTGAGACTGCAGAACAAATAAAACCAAGAGCTCAGTGGCTGGAGAAATATTACGTTCAATTATCACAAAATGAAGCACTATCAATACAGTAACTCTTGCTGTTTAACTCACTATCTCATCAAGAACAACTTTTTCCAGCAACTGCAGAACGAGCACATCATCTCCAATCTGCGACAAACAAGAACAAACAGCCCTAACAACTGATTTGAAGGTTCCACGATTTGACTTCCCTTCATGCTTCTTAGTAGGATAGATTTTCTCTGCAGAAAAGCATCCAGGTTCCTGATTTAATTTTTATAAACTATCGGACATAGCAAAAGAACAAGTAATGTGATGTCTGAAAGAGAAAGTACTTTCGCATCAAAAAAGTGAAAGGGCTTCTTAGTTATACTCAAATCTCAATACCTGCCAATTTCTTTGCAGTAATCCTTCTATCAGTTTCTCTTCTTATTGACTGTTAAATTGCTAATCAATAAACTAGGGAATCATTCTGTCTATTAGTCCAATATCATTATCATTATATGCAATGTAACATACTGACCATAACATTTGCTCTATTTCTCTAAAAAGGGCCTGATTTGCCCCTCTACTTTCATTTATTGTTCAATCTTGTCCCCCGTTAAAACTTTCCGTTCACATATACCCATGCCGTCCATCAAAGTTCTATATTTGCCCCTATTTTAACGGCAATACACATAGCGCCTTCTGAGAGATTGAACCAACCCAACATTAAATTAAAAAAAAAAAACAATCCGACTCGTTACCCAGAACCCGCCCAACCCTATTCCCCTGTTTCTATTAAACGCTGCACAATCATAAGCCCTAGCAACATCCACATCAGCATCAAAAGTTCCTAACCAAATCCTCGACCCTTTTTTATTAGGATCTCTTATCTCTGCTGCAAATTTACCCCATGGCCTTCTCCTTACTCCTTTGTAATTCTTCTTATTTTTGTAATTATTACTACTAGTGGGAACATACTGGGTTTGTTGTTATTGTTGTTCGTAATTATTACTACTCGTTGTATCTGTTGAAATAGTTGAGTGGAACTAACAGAGCTGTCGGAAGTTGGGCTGAGATTAGTGTCTGAGTTTGTTTTGAATCTGGGAATCGCTGAAGTCATGGGAAATTGGTTTGTACGACGTGGGAGAATCTGAGAGTGAATGATTGGAAATAGAAAGCTCTGTTTTTGCTGAGGTGAAAACAGGGGAGATATGATTGGAAAAGCACTATATGGTTATCATTTATGCAAATTTGAATCTCTACTCTGAGAGCTGTTAACATTGTTCTTGAATTATATGTAGAATTTTCACATGCTAATTAATTGGTTTTGCTAGATTTTGAGGAGTTCCACTTCAATTTAAGATGGTGAATTTGGGGTTGTTTTCTGGGAACAAGCCTTTGAAGTCAAGGAAGGTGAGTTTTGAATCCCATATTATACTCAGTGGGGCCAACACCTTCTGATATGCGGTTCAGATGCGTTGCTTGGTTCATGGAATGTGAAAAAGGGTCTATTATTGAAGCCTTCTCACCAAGGGGAAAAACTGATATGGTCTGGAAGCATTGGGGTATGCCATAGGGGTTTAAGAAGAGTAAGAGGGGAATAGGGTCGCACAGACTATGGGTAACGAGTCGAGTTGGTTTTTTTTTTTAAATGTTGGGTTGGTTCAATTTCTCAGAAGACGCCACGTGTCTTTGCCGTTAAAATAAGGCCAAATATAGAACAAGGGTATATCTGAACCGAAAGTATAATGGGGGATAGGATTGAACAATAAATGAAAGTAGAGGGGCAATCAGACCCTTTTCCGATAAATTTTGTTTATATATGATTCAGTTGTTAATAATTTAAATTAACCATTAGCTATAAACACCATAAGCGTCAACTACATATCGCAAAATAAAAGTATTGATCGTGGAGGAATATACCCCTTTTCATTCTTACAATCATCTTCAATAGCAAATTCAAAGATACTGTGTTAAAGATATATGTACATTTTATAATATCAAAGAGGGAATAGTTAATTTAGCAATTTTTGTCAAAACCTTAGTTATTATGCAGATCACATATAATGTCAAACATTAGGGGGAAATATAACATGGTACTTATAGAAACACTATTTACTGTAAAACTATTTAACAAAGGAAGCTAGGCTTGTCACTTCTATTGTTATATTAAACTAGAGGAGATGTACTAAAACAGGAAAGGCCTCTACACTTTAGTTTGGTTGCAAGCAAGAAAGAGAATGCTTCTTTTCCTACAACAGAGAAATCACATGTTCAATTGGTCCAACAGAATAAATCATTCCGGAAAACCTTGATTCCTTTAAGAACTTTGTGCTTCCATGCATAGTAAGGAAAACCAGTTAGATCAAACAGCACATCGGACTTTATTTTTGGCTCCACAAGATTTACACTAAAAGAAAAAAGACAAAGACAAACACACACACACACACACACACACACACACATATATATATATAAAACAATCAGAGATACACCTAACATGATTCCGAATTTGAAACGGATGGG